AGCCCTGCTTCCCATCGGTGGAGAGGTTTGTTTTTTTGGTGGCATTTGTTTTGTGGTTTTTTTGTTGTTTTTTTTTTTACTTTCCTGTTTTCCATTAGGCAGCTTGTGTGACAGTCTCTGAACAAGGAGTCCTGGTCCCTTAGCACCGCCAAAAAAAATACTTCAGGTTCTTGGCTTCTGAATGCCCATGTTGTGAGTAAGCTGGCAGGGAGCAGATGTCCAGCCCTGCCCGTGCGTGCACGGGTGGGAACCGACAGGAAGGAGTGTAGTCCAACCCAGCAAATTGTTGAAGAGAAAGAATAAACCAATATGAAAAACTGTTGGAGAGCTTGAGGTCATCTTGGCACAGCAGCTTCCCCAACTCAAATAAAAGAGTGGGGAGAAAGCAGGAAGTTTCAGAGACTCAATGCTAATAGGTTTCACTTCTTTGTACTTTCCTCCCCACTGTCCCCAGCCTCTTCTTCTGAGCATGACTTGCCAGAGCAACACACACAAAGCAACTCCTCACTTCCACAAGGACTGGCTGTACTCAGGTAACAAGGCACTCCTGAAGGCACTCTTCATTAAAATCTGTACCGTCATCCTCATAAAAACCTGCTTTCTTTTGATCTAATTGCATTTAATAGGATCTTGGCCTTTCTCCAGAGTAAGAACAGTTGTTGTTGCTTAAATATTTTATAAACTAGAGTTTTTCCAGCGAGAACAGAAAGACTTGGAAGTCGATGACAAGGAGCCATCATTCACCAACACCTTAATTTGTGATTTTTGAGCACAACATATCTCTAGATATTATTCTCATGTTGCTTCACTGGGGTAATTTTTACCTTCTCACTGCCAGCACGATTGCAGCTCTCCCTTACGTCACATAACAGAAGTAGTTTTTGGAGTATCTTTGAGGTGTATAACTGAATTCAAGGGCTAAATTAACAGCCTTTTAGACAGTTTTCTAAGTTAGTCTCATAAAAGACTGTTTAGCCATTTCTTGCTTAACATAAGCCATAGGAATTCAGCCAGGTGTTCAACTTGTAACCAGCATTTACAGTTACACTTCTGGAAAGACATTGCATTGTTCAAAGGATTCAAGATGCTGTCACTCCTGTCTCTAAGCCCTTCCAGCCTGTGGCACCAGTCTGTAGGATTTTCAGGGGGTTAGAAGAGGGATTTTCACTTCTTTGGTAAAGCATACTCTTAAATAAGCCATTTTATTCCCTTTGTTTCATTGCCCTTCCTCCTTCCTGATTTCTGTAGAATTCAGATCGTACTTCATTATCTCATCATGCTGTGGGGTGTTTCACTTATTTGACCTCAGTAGAAGATTTTGATTGTATTTTACATATGAAAAGTCTAAGCACCAGTTTGTCCTCACCTAAGGTGCGGGGGACACAGGAGGTGGCTGTCCTGGGGGAATAAACCCAGGGCTGCCAGCACCTGCTCCCACCTGATCTGTCTGCCGAGTACACCACAACTCGATTCTTAACTTGCAGCTCACTGAATTCTGATAGAGAAAATATTAACCAGACATAGTCAGAGAGGAGAAACCCCAGACTTCATCGTCCTGCTCACAGTGATGCTGTGCAGGCTGCAGGACAGCTGAAGGCTCTGCAAGGTAACCTGGCTTCAGGGAACTGCTGCTGCCAGGGGCAGCCTTGCCTTTCCTCGCAGCAGCCTGTGCAGTTCCCACTCTGTTCCCCAGCGAGTGGGCTGGGGATGGGCAAGAGGCTGAAAGCGGACACAATGGGGATAGCTGGCCCCAGCTGACCCAAGGGATGCCCCATTCCATATGGTGTCATGCTCACAATAAAACCAGCATAGCAGAAGGTGGGGGATTTGTGGGTGACTTACTCAGAGGGGGACTGGGCATCAGGCTGCTTGTGAGTGGTGAGTGGTTGCCTTTGCATCACTTGTTCTTTTCCCTTATCAAACTGTCCTTATCCCGACACAGCTTGTTGCTATTGCTCTTCCTACTCCCTCCTTTCCCAGTGGGAGGGAGCAAGCCAGCGGGAGCAGTGGGTGCTCAGCTACTGGCCAGGCACAACCCACCACAGAGAGAAAGGGAGGAATCAATCCTAGTTTATTAATCCCTTGACACCTTTTTTCTTTTTCTTTTTCTTTTTTTTTTCTCTTCTCTGCAAGTATTTGAAATGGTTCACCTGACTCCTTAGTGTTGATGGTTCAGAATTACATGAGACATCACAGATCAGCTCTCCTGTAACTTAAACTAGATCGCCTTCTTGTAAAACCTCAAGGTTTGGCCACTATAAGAATCACAAAACTTGTTACTGTGCCACCTGCCCACCCCAGGAGCTGCACTGTCCCTCTACTCTGTCAGGGTACAAGTACACTCATTGCAAAGGTCACTGTTCACAAATGTTGCTTCTCTTTCTCCCCAAAGTGACTACAAGAAAATTCCAATGAAGAACCAGGTCTTTCAGACCTTGAGACCCAGGATTTCTGCTATAGGGCTTAAATTGCACATTCTTGCTTCTGCTCTCTAGTAAATCACAGACTCTTGCTCTGCTCAGCATCAGTCAGCAGTGATCTTCTGACACCCTCTGCAGCAAGGGCAACTATTGTACTTCTGTCCCCTTATCCTCTCCTGGAGTAGAGAACATCATTAGTAAAATATTACTGCATGCATAAGTGTTGCTGTTTATCCTTAAGAGGCAGTTAGAAGGGCCTGGCTCTTGGGAAGGGA